ATATATACATAATGTATGTTCAACACTAAAACAAGAAAAATATCCAGAGTCGAAAAATAAAAATTTTCACTTTTAAAATGCAAATGAAATTGAATAAGGAAACCTAACCAGGGCTGGGGATTTAGCTCAGTGGTTCCACCACCTGCGTTGCAAGCACAAGGTCCCCAAGTTCAATCCCCGGTACCAAAAAAACCCCAACAACAACAACAAAAAGAAAACCTAACCAATCATACAAGATCTGTGAGAAAAGTCCCAGTGAAAATATAGAATACTTGAAAATAATGGTTCCAGCACAGCAGAGAGACAGATTCTCAGTATTGCCATGGAAAACAAAGAGCAAGATAATGGCTGTGAGAGAAAGCAGAATAGTTAAATTTAATAATAAAATAAAGGGCTCCAACAGGATTGCGTTCTTTAAAAATGTGTATACTTGACATTGGTGATTTTCATATGAGAGATTTTCAAATAATTTTCCAACAAAAAAATTGGTGTAAGAAAATAAATATATTCTGAATATATTATGTGGCTAAGCTAAGAACAGTATTTAAAACATTAAATGTTAAATTAGACTCCAATTAGTGATATTATAATTCTATTGGGATAATAATAAAGATGTAAATATGTAAGGATATGTATTAGGGAACATTTATAAATCTAAAGATTGGTTAGGTTTTCTTTATTCAAACTTGTGGTGGTGAATATAAATTCCATCTTTCACCATAGTAATTTGTAGACAATATCCAAATTTGAGCAATTTTAACAGTGTAGATATAAAATTATTGCAAGACCCAGTTAAAATTATTGCATTAAATTGTCTCAAGCAATAAGAAGAGCGAGTGGTATGATATGGACCCCAGAACTACTATTTTTCATGTCATCACACTTTGTTTTTAAAACTAAGAATTTAAAAGTTTTATAAAAATAAAATTACATTTAATAAGAGATACTGAGCTTTATAGAATACACAAAACACATGGAAAAAAGAACCGATGAATAAATAGTGCTGGAAAACGAGTAACAAAATTTGGGTAACAAGACAAAATAAAAAAGGGATAAGAAGAATCCAGACGTATTATGCACAGCTACAAATTCCTCATGAACAAATGTGATCACTATGTATATCAAAGGTGTACTAATAAAATTCATTTAAAACATGGATAAGGTCACCACCACAAGTTGTAAAAAGAGAAGTATTTGACTATTTAAGATGTAGGAGAATCAGTGGAGAAAATTGATGACTTTCAAGTGATTTTACAAAAATAACTACAATTATATATAGAAGACAGATATATAGAAAATAATGTTTTATCTTGTTCATAAAAGTTTATTAGAAAAAAATGTAAAAAAGAAAAGATAAATCAGCAATACTGATGGCCAAAATAATTAAGATAAATGCTATGTATTTTGTAACAATACTATATTCAATGTTGATTAATCTGATAACTTCATACATGTGCTAAAGAAAGTATATAGTTTCACAGTAACAAAACCATTAAGTCAGTATAATTTCTTTTAGCTAGTTTTTCCTAATTCTCAACTTCTACCCCAAATCAGGCTATTATCAGATTGTTGATATTAATCAATCTTCTGAAAACATATATATATATATATAT